CATTAGCACCTCTAGTAATATATTTACTGAGAAAAATGGTGATGTGTTCAATACTTATTTTGCCCGCTGTATTAAACWGTTCAATTCATTACTGCAAATAGCAATGTAAAAAAAAATACATGCAAGCAAAATGACTAAAATACTACATAAAACAAAGTGATTTGTGCAGTTTGTTATGCACACAAGAGATGGGAAATATTGTGCAAACTTTGGTAGTTTTTGATTATTTACTATTACATGAGCAAAGTTCTCTCTGTCCAAATAATCTAATCTAAATTGGCAACGATGCACAACTGAAAAGTATGACTCAGCACTGACCGTCATGTTTGCTTCGAAAGTAGTTTGTGTTTCCTTCATAAACAGGACAGCTGCAAAATATCACCTCTAGACCTCTCAATAAACAGCTCTTCCAACCGGCTGTCATTTTGGTCTTTTTCTCCACATCCAACTTATTTGGTTTTTCTTGGCGCATGCAGTCACACAGTGTCAGCTCTTCTGCTTCATGAGGATTTGTTATTCAAATTCATTTACAAAGAAAACAAGTGTTTTAGGTTTCTTATCTCGCTGTCAGTGACATGCAAAAAATATGCGGTTTATTAGTAATTCTCAACATCTGAGTCCCATTTTATTTAAAGCTCTTCTTTTCTAAAAACACACTTKGTAGCTGTTTTCCCATCACAGCCTTGCTAAAGTTAATCAATGTCAGTAAACCGGAGGTACTTGCTCTTTCTTTCACCTGTTCTCTGACTCATCTATCACACATCTGCTGAATCCAGAAGTCATATGTGGAAACCTCTGGGAATTAGGCAATATGGGGCAAACTGGCAAGAAAAAAGCATCCAAGCAACAAAAAGAAATGAACCAAACTGAGCCAACAAAATGAAGAAATAGCCTCCTATTTTCAGGAAGCAGACAGCTGAAAGAATGTGGTCAGAGGCTCGGCGCRGTGAAACTCCACAGCTCCTCACTGGGCACATTTGTTTAACACCGCAGTGGTGCTGCAGGCGCAGGAGAGTGTGCCTCGATAAATCAACCAGTGGCAACAAATTTGATTTGGAAGGAGAAATATTGCAGCTCGGGAATGGAGAGACTGAGGCCTTTAGGGAGCAGGAGTGGGGAGGAGGAGTTGCAGTGTGAGAGAGGGAGTGTTAACAAGGACACAACAGATGTGGTGGAGGAGAGAGACAAACACTCCAGTCTGCAGGAGATCAGGGAGGAGGCGACACCAGGAAGGAGCAGAGTCATCCTCAAACACAACACTGATACGTTCTGTGTCTGTGTGGTGAAAAACAGAAATTTTACATGTTTAAAGAGACAGAAATAAAATATACTGAGTTACTGAACATGAATGTGCTGCATAGGATCTTATGTCAGTACAAGAAGTAGCACAATGAAACTTCTGTTATTTATTTAGGCTAGGTCCTAGTCTAAGTAAATAA